AAGAATTTTTTATAGATGATTTTGACTCTCCGCAGTGAGGCAGTTTTTTCATGGAAAAATAATCATAACTCCATTCAGATTATCGTTTCGCAGATATGGAAGACAGTATTCAAACCAGCATTAAAAGACGCATTTTTTTGATATACAAACCATTTGAATGGTCGCGGTGATCAAGTACCCTTCCCTTGTAAGTCTAATACATCCAACCAATTATAATCGAGCTCTACAAACGATATTATATACACTATAAATTACGAATACTCGGAAAATGTATTTTCTGTCAGGGTCTTCACATGTTGATTGACTGTGTAAGTATAGCATCTTGCAAGTCTTTTGCTTTATCATCAAATATGTTCAAATTTTGAAAGTTGTACCACTAATCCACTAAATATGAAACAATTGTTCTAGTTATGTTTTGACAAAATTTTGTCCCTCTGAACAAAGACAAACAGCTCTCAAAGCAGACTTCGTCTTTTTTGGTTTCTAAGACATATAGTTTTCTGTCCTGCAACGTGAAATAACTGCACTAAGTTTGAAAAGAGCAATACTAGAGCTCACCAGCTTTCAGAGAATACGCTTGCAGTCTGCGGGCCTTGTAGGCTATTACTGACTGTCGCCGCGATCCGGGGGCACTTTAAGCTGCCATGTCGCCGCGTGCTATATAGCTGGAAGTAATCACATGCAATCATTAGTTCTCTTGTTGAAGTTTCAATGTAGTTAGTAAAATAATTTCTTTGAAGGCAATCAAGAAGGGTCCTCGAGAGTTTGTATGCCTCTATCAAAAAAGAAGTTTCGGATGGAACAAGCACCGAATGGTTTGCTTTCTCAGGCCAGTAAAACTTCCTAAAAGCAACAACCGTAAACGTCCTGTCGGTTGTTGTTTTTAGGGAGAGAAAAAGTTGATTGCGGAATTGCAAATGTTTTGCATTTTTGATTTTCCACTTTCAGCAAATAGACTATATTGTTTTACCGGATACTGTTCTGTAACATACATCAACAAATGTTTTTGTATGGTTTATGTCGTAATTAAAGATGGTGTTTAGAACGTATGAGAGAAATGGTTATGGTCGAGAATATCATAACTGACATAACTGTTTCATATGACAGTTAATAGGTACTCTTTATGGAACAGTTGTTTTTGTTCCTTATAGGCACAATTCATAACACCTTGCTTTATTTCAAAATGTGATGTTATGTTATGAGTAGTCCGTTAATTATGGAAAAAGCACAAGTTCCACTGAAAGTTGTCATGCATAAGAATATTGCAAATGTGTATTGGTGCGTTGCGCTAAATGAACAAATTCACTTCAAAGGTGTTGGCTGCATACATCATGGAAATTGGTAATGCTCAGATAAACAGGCTTCACTTGCGTTTTTCTATATAATACCCTGCCAGTGCGCTGTTGCTTTAGGTGTACTAAAATCGTCAGTACCACATGTTTCGTCGAAAACATAACTGGAAACAAAGCCATTAAAAACTACTATAGGGCATTTGAATAATCGTGACGATGGCGCGAAACCGCGCGGGACATGTACGCACTATCGGCAACCGCATTTGCTTGGTTTCCATCTCTACCTAAACGGTTTTTCTACTTACATATCATAGTATCCTAGACGCTGGAAGTGAGTGGCTGAGCGTTGAGGTGATGCTTTTTTGTATGAGTATTTCATGCTCCTGTGGGCGCAAAGACCGCAGCCAAAACCGTCGTCATGATTTTAAGAATGACCTATACTCCGCGAAGAATCATAAGACGTACTTTAATAATAGGGCACACAGCTCTAATTGTAAGCCCTTGCAGCCGCCACGCGCAATTTGCATTGCGTTCGCGAACCTGATGTACCTTTTGGCATTTTTAAACTTTTTTCGCTGCATAGGCAGGAAATTGCTCGGAAAATAAGTTGAAATGCAGTCAAATAAAGGTTCCATACTGAGTATTTGGCAGTGGCACTGTCGTCAAGATCACACGAGTGTTTCATTTGCATCTGCTTATACTTCTCAGCAAATTTTAAATAGATGATGATATAAGCAGAGTTAAATTAGTGTTGCTTAAGTGTAAGCTCTAAGAAAATAGACGAGCGGACGACTACAGTCACGATTATGTTTTGGTGTCATATTAGCTCATGAAACGGCTGGAATCCGCTATTGGTGTTCGATCGAAATCAAATTGAGATACTCGGCGGCAAAGTCATCACGATCGATGCGATCGCATTCATTGCATAATAGGCGCTGCCCTTTGCTTAGTTCCCAATCGAATCCCGACAAATCGGTTTTGCTCGGGAGCTGGGATGTGACAGTGGTTGGATCATGGAACACCACGGCAACAGCCCTATACCTTCAATTTTTTTCTACCTGCGTCCTTGCAACTTCGACACACATCGCAAGTGATTATAAATGGTGATCTCAATGTTTTTGAGTCGGCTTATATTCTACTCAAACTATAGAGTTCAATACGTTAGCAGGTGTTTTTGCCACAATTGAATGTGGAGAAATAAAACATGGCATTTTTAGAAAATGCAATGCTGAGCTTCTCTTGTATGTATAGCTAAATCTAAACTGCAAAATTTTGGAAGTATAATATCAACTTGGCTCAAAAGTTCTTGCGTAATTTCAACGAAAATCAATAGTCAAATACTCAACTTAAACTCATGGTTTAGTATCCTGAAAAATACATCAATGTTTCGCTTTATAACCGACTAGCTGGCTTACCCGGCTCCGCCGTATGTTCCGAATAAAAAATTCCATTTCTTAACCGATCCGGACCAAACTTGGCACACATACACTTCGGGCCCCGGCGGCTGTCACAGTCCACTTTTCGTTATCGATCGATGTCGATTTTATCGATTTTTTGCAAAATTTGAGCTAGGGGGCTGGGATTTGGCACAGGGGGGTAATCGAGCATGCTGATTACGAATACAATATTAGTTTTCAAAACCGTGCATTACTTTTATCGATTTTATCGATTTTTTTGCAAAATTTGAGCTAGGGGGCTGGAATTTGGCAGGGGGGTGTAATCGAGCATGCTGAATGCTCGATTACCCCCCTGTGCCAAATCCCAGCCCCGTAGCTCAAACTTTGCAAAAAAATGGATAAAATCGATAAAAGTAATGCACGATTTTAAAAACTAATATTGTATTCGGAATCCCCATGCTCACTTACCCCCCTGTGCCAACTCCCAGCCCCGTAGCTCAAATTTTGCAAAAAATCGATAAAATCGATATCGATCGATACGAAAAGTAGCCTATGACACCCGCCGGGGCCCGAAGTGTATGTGTGCCAAGTTTGGTCCCGATCGGTTCAGAAATGGAATTTTCTATTCGGAACATACGTACACACAGACATACATACATACATACAGACAGACAGACAGACAAACAGATATTCAGCTTTGTCTGAGCGTAACACTCTACAAGTTGGTCACCAAAAATGAAGCTTCCAGAAATGGCTATCCAAATTTTTCGATTTTGATTTGATGCTAGAAATCGAGGAGGGCGCTGGCTGGTCAAATGTATAAAAATTCCTTACACAGCAAAATTTCATGAGTTAATCCTCAATTTCTTTCAAAGTTGAAGATTATGGAAAAGAAGAACATCGCGCTACATTTGCAGTATACCTAACAATAAAGCACTATATAGAATGTTGCCCCTTTGAATTTCTCTCTTCCCCTCTTTGCGAATAATAACAAGATTCTTTCGTTCTATAAAACTTTGAAAATTTAAACAACTGGCAACGACATCTCTTAGATATTGTATATAAGTAAGCATCCGAGGATACGTTCCTTACTATCAGCTGACCGCCGGCGCATATTCTGTCGGAATTAAGCTGCGTGATTTGTAGAGAATTTTTTCTTAATAAAGCATACAAACAACAACGCAAAGTAGCCGTAAAAGCTTCTTATTGTAAAAAAACTGGCGTAAGTCCCCATTTGAAAGAGACCACCAAAATACAAAACTATGGAATCTAGAATATGTTCGCTCTTAATATCTTTTTTGAGCTGCGAAATAGGGGTGTAGAACTCGATGAGCAGTAATTCACTGCGGCTTTTCTAATCAACTTTGAAATCATTTCTGAGAGGAATTCGCGTTCTCAAGAGTAAGATACAAACTAGAATTGGGGCTTGAATCTCGTTTTGACATCATTTTCTATGAAAAATTACCTTGTTGTTATATAGCTAAGAATAAGATCTTTGTATGGGAAGGTTGTGACAAGCTTCTACGGCCACATAATTATTTCGAATTTCCCATCATTAATAAAGGTTATTTACGTCCCAACATGGCCAGCTTCTCAAAACAGCACTTCTTTGAGCAATTAACAATAATAACTGTAATTAGCGATTGTCAGTTTGGAATTAGATGTATACAATTTTTTTTCGTCGTGAGAAACAAATTTAACGTCACTTTCTTTCCTCTTTAATTCATTCATCTAATTTTCATAAACAGAGCGCACCTTTTAATCGCCACTGTGCTCCGTCCAGCTTCATAAAACTTCATATAGAAATTTGGCCATGACATTTTTACAAACAGTCTAAGCAAACAAAGTTATTTTTTAGGCAACCCAATATTTTATGAGTGTCGGGGAGCTAAAGTTCAACGTGGCCTCCTAATGAAAACTGAACAGTCAAACGAAAGCTTCATGTAAAATAATCTTTTTTGATGGAAACGAGCCTTGTTACATAGTTCTATAACGATACTTGTAAAAAGTCTATTTTAAAGCTGATAACTATCAAAATTCAGAATGATCTTTGCTTAGGCCATAATTTAACCATGGCATTAACTTCTTTGAAACAATTAAGAAAGTCGAAAGTATACAACTCTAGACCAATGAAGTTTGGAGATACAGCACTCAAACTAGAAGAATTTTCATACAAACTGAGATATGCCCCTTGATAGATCTTTTTCATATATTGTTCGTTACAGAATTTGCCTGAATTCATGCAGCATGCAAAATAAAGACTTACAAATTGTTCGATGCTGCTTCGAAACAACAGACAGAACATATTTATTGGAAAATAAACAACACAAATTACATGAACACAATCACACTTACTACCTGTGGTAACCTAAACTAGAAGATTTTGAATATATGAGTAGGTATTGATCGGATAGCATGGATTATTAAGTTGAAGGTAGGTCAAATGGGTTTAACAAGATTGTTGCTGATGTTTCTACTCCAGAGCTGCTCAAGATCGTCAGTTGCATAGGTTTTCTAGATCTTTGTGAGATCGTCCATGTTATCGAAATGTTGGATACCCCTAAAATAATAATAAGCTAACAATATAATTAAAACGACAACGCTTCTAAAGTCTAACCATAGCCGCAACTGAAGAAATTTCAGAATATTTTGTGAGAACACTAAACACCATCACTCCGTTTCGTTCCTTCCCTTAAATGGAGTTCAAAATGAGCTCTAAGTCATGCCCGGAATTCCTCAGTAAGGAAGTAAGTCCCGGAATCATGTACTACTCAAGTTGCTAGATATAAAGTTTGAAAGAAAGAACAAGATGGAATCAGCATAACAGTGCCTACCTCATTGGAAGCCCGTCATTTTCATTGATATTGTGCTTGCCTTCCATTATAAGCACTCTCCCACTTAGACTGTCTGGTAGCTCTCGTTGCCCGGATTTCTCAAGGTGTCGAAACATTGGAAGCTTAAATTCCCCACTGTCTTCCTAGAAAAAAAATCATTTATACGATCTCGTTGCAAGTCGAACAGTTGAGATAAAATTTTTTCTACCTTTATTTCATCCGGAATTACATCCAGGAAGCCCGGAGGATGTGTTGGTAGAAGGTAGCGAGCCATTTCGTTTCAGATATGTACAACGTAGACTGCATATGTCTTGTTTACATGTGGCTTTTTATAGGGGACTGCGAGCGCCGGCGAATTTTCTCGAACAGTCGCTGGCTGTGATAGAGGCTCGCACTGACATCTCGTAAACAAGGACGTGCTCCTCCTCTTTCACGTTCTTCACGCGCAGTAAACATAGCGAAGTAAAGCTTTTACGTCTTAAATGTTCTATATGAAAAGAAAATTCGGGTATTTAGTTCTGCGCCACGAGTAAGCTTTGCAATTCTCTAAAAATGAGTTTCTGTTACATTTATGGGTGGGCTTTCACTAGTAGGAAATTGTGGAAATAAGCCATGGAAGATGGAAAACTGACTGATTTTGACAAAATCTGTCAGTTTTTCATACCTCTGTTTCTTCACCTTTTTTCTCTGATAATTATAGAAATAAGCGCAATTTTCTCGCTGTAACAACTCAGCAGGTTACACCTATTATATATTCAGGGTCAAAAGATAAAAGAAAAAAGAGCTACCTTTCTCACCAATAATTCTCATCTTTACAGAGCTCGGCATGAGCTGGCACCAGGGAAATTCAGAAACAAGGTCCCCTTTGACCCCAAACCTGAACGCGAAAAACCCTTAAAAACGAAACGTCATCTCAAAATCGTCGCACTTTTGTGTCTTTTCGGCCACAAAAATACGATACCCCCTTTGCTTTTTGTCCCAAAAACAATATCAAGCCTAACCCAATGCCGAGCCCTCCCTCTTAGGTTTCTGCAACGTTTCCTCTGAAAGGATCTGCACCATTGAAAAAGATGTTTTAGAAAAATTTGATTACGAATGAAATTTTCAGAATTTGGAGTGAGATTACGCTGTTTTCACCTAATAATAAAGGGTTTGTTACATGACCCCTGCCGACCTTTCTGGACAGTATTGTTCTCCTGTCGATTCGCGAATTTTCGACCGACTGAGATTTGCGATGACACCCTCGTGATCGAGTAAATAATAGCGCACCCTCTTCGCGAACGTTCTGATGTCATGTGAGGCAGCTGAGGCACAGCAGATGACATTGGGGAGTGATTATGTATGGCTAGAATAAATAACACGTATCTGACGCAATACCACCACAGAGTTTACCTCAAGATACCTCAGGTTACTCATTCGCAACAAATCTTCTGACAACCTTTCTGCACTTGGCGGTAGCCAGCTGTATAAAAGTTGCAGTAATGAATAATGATGACTACCACTTTGAACATCTGACAAGGGGAGGATGGTTGGGAAGTGACCTTTTGAGACGGAACATATACCACTTCGTGGGGGGGGGGGGGAGCATAAAACGCTGATTAAAAACCCGTCTTTCTTGACTGCGGAGTAATCATAGGCTGGAGTTATGAGCACTTATTGCGCCAGAAATTGATTGATTCTCTAGAATAAAATTTTTTGCAAAAATGTTTCTAGCGCTTAAAGGAGGCTATGGATTGTGAATATAATTTATCTAAAAGTGGTTATTGCATAAAGTTTTCTGATAATCATAATAAGTGCTCCATTCAGGAGCTACGAAAAATGTTACCACTACTTTAGTTCTATTTACACACTATATTTTTTGCTCAAATAAGCGCTCATAATTCCTCGCGCAGGAACGCTATGCAGTTAAGGAAAACAGATTCTGAATCAGCATTTCAAGCCCTCAAAGGTGGTATATTTTTAGTTCCAAAAGGCCACTTCGACCAACCATCCTTCCCTGCTGA